CACCTTCCACCTGGATGACGCCCCTCTCTGCTATTAGACTCTTGTGAGAATGGACTAAGTGGGCTTCCCCTCGTTAGATTCTTGTCACCACCCTATATTTTTTGTGCTTGTTTTTCCTTTGTCTCGTTTCTACTTTCGGTTATGATTGGACTTCGTGTAGACCTATGTTTTTTTTTCCTAGTTAATGTCTTGACCATATACAGGGTGACTATATATATATATATATATATATATATATATATATATATATATATATATACACACATATATATATATAATTACTAGCTAATAGCATCTAAGAAAACCTATTTAATAAAACCTATAAAATTTTTCCTCCATTTTCGGTTACAAAATTTATCATTAATGTTTTTTACTTTTCACATTAATACATCCTATTGAGTGTAATCATATATTTTTTTATTATATTATATTATAATTACTGCTAATATCAACTAATAATAATTCACAATAAAGAAAAATTGCATAATTATAAACAATTGTTTCAAATTATTTATTTTAACATCAATATTATCTTTTTCTTTTGTATCTCATGAAAAAATTTCTTTAAAAATAATTATTAAATTGTTTTAATAGCATAGTCAAACAACTTTAGAATCTTATAAACTATTGCTTTTGTAATAATAATAATAATAATAATAATAATAATAATAATAATAATAATAATCAAACTGCTATTATCTAATGATAATAAACAATTGTTCATAATAATAAATAATCATTAATTTATGTACATCTGTGCATGTGCACAAGATATTTACTAGTTGATATTATACGTGGATGTTACATAATTTAATAATAAAATACTTTATCAAGTATCTAACCGAATTATGGCCTAACGCATAATTAGGCGATGACCACAATTAATAGATAGTAGGTAGGAGGCGCCCGGGTCAAACTTTAATCAAACTACAATCCACGTTTAATTGCGATATTCGCCCCGCAATTATACGTCTCTCTCTCTCTCCCGCTCGCTCTCACACACAGTACGTGTGTGTGCGCGCGCGCAAAACAGTAACAGAATTACACGCAAACACAAACACGCACCACAAACTCTCAATGTCACTGAAATCCTGTGATTACAGTAATCTCCATGACTAAATCTAACCCCACCATTTATTTTTCGTGTGCCAAAAATTCCTTTCACTCAAACACCTCTCTATCTCTCTCTCTCCCTATTTATAATTATTATTCTCTCTCTCCTCTCCCCCACGCCCCTTGCTCTCTCTATCCTTCTCCCGCATAACGGGTTTGCCGAGGCGGACAAAATCTCCGCCATTGTAATATAATTATTATACAGGTTCGCTTCTTCCCTGTTGTTTTTATCTGTGCGAAGAAGAATGGCTATCAGGATTTGTTGTGCTTGTATTCTTATATGCTTTTTTACATGCATAAAAAAATAATCTCTGAAATTGGAACGTATATTTGGTTTGTGCTTGTACGAATCTGCTTCTTCGGTGGCGGAGGATTTTGAGCTTCATGCAATTCTAATTTTACCTGCAACTGCCCTCTATTTTTCGCCATAATTGTCGGGGGTGTGCTTTGACTCAGATAGTTTTTACTTTTTATGATACAAAGTCCAATTATTCCTTAACTCGTTTTCCTTTTTTCCGTTTTTTCTTTCAAAATAAATGTTTTATTTGCTTTAAATTCAATTGTTAGTTGCTCCCATGATTTGATTGGTCAATGCTCGTTTTATTTTCTACTTTCGGGCGTCTTGTGGAGTGATTTCCTGTTTGATTTTGGGCATATGTGAAAACCTTGTTTTGGCAAAAGCCTGATTCCACAGTTGGAATGCGAAGATTGAACTTATATAGTAAGCTCTGCTATTCCCTTTTCTAAAATTCAACATTTTACTGTATTCAATAATTCATTCATTACCTGTTCAATCTTTTGCCTGTGTAGATTTCCTGTCTTTTCTGCTTGCTTCCTTGAGCAAGAAAATTCATTAAATAGACATGATTGCCTTGGTTCCTTTACCAATTTGTGTTGTTGATGTTTTCCCAATTTTCTCAACAGGAATTGAATATTCAACAGCTGATTTCATGTCAGCAAATCACCCTTTTCCAACCAAAAGGAACTGCTGATCTTTGTTTCAACAGTTACTGTTGCAATAGGGATCAGCTTCCCCAACTCATTGTCTATAGGCCCTGATTAGAATTTATTGTCCGAATGCTTGACCACAAGTTTCTCCCTATGGGTAGTAACTTGAAAGTGGAGAAGAAATGGCTGTTCCCACTCGTATTCAGTTCCTTAGTATGCATTTTCATAGTGGTCACCAGCTTCAACATGGGGCTCCTCTCCTCTTTGAACACAATCAACTCTATTTTCTCCATGATTCCTTCTCGGCTCTCGGCCACAGAGAAAGAAGCAAACGCAGATCAAATCCCGCCACCTCCAGCTCCTCCTCCCCCGCCAAAATTCGCTTACCTCATATCTGGTTCGCGAGGTGATTTGGATAAGCTTTGGAGGACACTTCACGCACTCTACCATCCGTGGAACTATTACGTACTTCATCTGGATCTCGAGTCGCCAGTCGAGGAGAGATATGAGCTTGCTGCTAGGGTCGAAAATCACACACTTTTTGGTAAAGTTGGGAATGTTTTGGTGAATAACAGGTCCAATATGGTTACTTACAAGGGGCCCACCATGGTTTCCAACACTCTTCATGCGTGTGCTATCCTACTGAAAAAATATGACGATTGGGATTGGTTTATTAACCTTAGCGCTTCGGATTATCCTCTCATAACTCAAGATGGCAAGCACTTTTTTTCTCGTTTTTCTACTTTCCTTTTTGTTTTTCTACCATGACTTTTCAGAGTTTCTTGAACTGTCAATTGCTATCTTATGATTTATGTTTCCTTCATTAAATACTCTTATGTTCGAGCCTGTCTCTGTGTTTTCTCTACTAAATTATATAAACTTGAACAAGACTTTTTTTTCTTTTTTTTAATATTTTGCAGATCTACTCCATACATTCTCTGGTTTGAAACGCGAGCTCAATTTTATAGAACACACAAGCCATTTAGGCTGGAAAGCGTAAGTCTCACTATGGATTTAATTCCCTTATTTGAACTTTTGAATTGTTGAGAAAAGGTGTCATTGGTGGTTATTCCATTATCTGGTTTTTACTACAGGGGTCAGAGGGCAATGCCGTTGATTATAGATCCAGGACTCTATCAGACCAAAAAATCTGAAATATTCTGGGTCACACCCAAGAGGCAATTACCTACAGCATTTAAATTGTTCACTGGTTAGTTCCTGCATTTGGTTACATTATGTATAGCGTTTGAATTTCCAAATATCTTCTAGCTGTTGGTATCCGTGATGTTGCCACTACAGCAAATCATTCATCGTCTTGATCATTAAGCATCAGGAGATCAATTTAATGCAAATGGATTACACGGCCTTCCACTTAGTTAAAGAACCTGAAAATCAAACTCAAGAGCACATAACAATCACCTCGAATTTACCTCAGACCAGAACACTCGAAATTCATTCATAACTCATAAGTACACTTCTAAGGCACAAACTAGATGTCTAGTGTAGGTTAATTGGCTGCATATAAATTAACACAAAACACAAAATTGCAGGTTCGGCTTGGATGATACTGTCTCGCGCGTTCGTAGAGCACTGCATATGGGGTTGGGACAATCTGCCCCGCACCCTTCTCATGTACTACGCCAACTTCATTTCATCTCCCGAGGGCTATTTCCAGACGGTCATCTGCAATACGCCTGAGTTTTCGCACACTGTAGTGAACCACGACATGCACTACATAGCCTGGGACACCCCACCAAAGCAGCACCCCCACGTGCTCACCCTCAATGACACGGAAAAGATGGTTGCAAGTGGCGCTGCCTTTGCGCGTAAGTTCAAGGGGGAAACCCCTGTCCTGGACAGGATCGACCGAGAGCTGCTGATGAGGAAGAGGAACGGGAGCTTCACGCCAGGTGGATGGTGCGGAGGGAAGCCACGATGCTCCAAGGTGAAGAACCCCACCGTGCTCAGGCCAGGGCCCGGGGTCGAGAGGCTCCGCGGCCTCCTGGAGACGGTACTTTTCTCAGACAAGTTTGGTCAGAATCAGTGTAGATAGGAGGGAAAAAGGAAATCTACTTTTTTATTTGGAGGGG